TTCGGTGCGGCTGAACTCCATTGTTTAATCTCGCCGAATGACTGCACAATAGATTTCCTCAGCTCTGTGTCTTCAGGCTTTATAGGTGATATTGTCGTTTGTGTTTGCGCCAGTAAATCGCGTTTTTTCGGCCYCAAAGGCGTACTACTGTGTAGAGTAGGAGTTTGGCGGATGCAGGGAAATAAGTGGACATTCTTCCTCGTGGACATTTTAGAGCACTGTATATTGATGCTAACTTGTTCGGAGTTTTTTGAGTCATTCTTCCTTGATGGATTGTCCACGGAAAGTTCTTTTGATTTGCTGTGTGTGTGTGATCTAAGCACTATTGGTGACGATCTAGACGACACGTTTTGTTGTGACCTTTTTACTCTTCCAACATACTCTATTTCTAGAGAATCGGTAATGGCTTCTCCTGATGGAGTTTTTCGGTTAAACCACGAATCCCACGTATTGTTCTCCGTGGTCTTGTTACTGCAAGAATCCGCTTTTGGCAATCCTGTCGAGTCATTTTTTAACTTAGTTAATTGTTTAGCACAAATCTTATCAAAGGTATCATTAAAGTTTACGTGGATGGAGGCCTCTTCTTCGAAAACGTGCTTCACTTTGGCTGGCAAATCTTTTACCTCGAATTTTTTCCGGCTCGCAATAAGCTTCCTTTGGACCAGATTCTTTGTAAACAGGATATCGAAAGCTTCCACAACATTAACAGAGGATTTTTTTCCGCGACTGTATGTCCTAAAGGGTTTTCGGGGTGCCATTTCACTTTAAACCTCCATTTCGCCCCGGCGCCGTAAAAACTGAGGAATGATATTGCGGATATCGTTCGGCTCTTAAATGTTTAAAATTCCAACAGTCGACAATGTTGACAAGGATCAGTTGTTTATTGCTCGAAATGCTAACCTCTTTTATCAAACGTGCATCAAACCGAATCATGGAGGTGTAAACAAATGGACGCTTTCAACGGTAACTGTTAAAGTAGAATAGTGCCGCTGTTGGCGGGTGGCATGTTGTCTCTTTCTTTAGCAAGCAATTTAGTTCAATTGTAGTTTTTTTGTGTTTTTGTGTTGTTTGGATGCGGTTGAAAAATAAAGCTAAATATGAAAAATATCTATACCAAAGAGTTTATATGAAAAGTGCATTAAAAGCACAAGAAAATTGCAAAGTGAAGACCCCGAAGGGGGCTTAGCGAAATGAAAGAAAATAATTTCCGCAGGACAGATTGTTAAGGCAAAGTATTTGTTCACAAGGAAATAAAAAACCTCGAAAATTAAAAAATCTTAATATTTGTGCCATTTAATTTATCCCTTAATTTAAGCTCTGGGGCTATTGGGTGAATTGCCTGTATATTGCCTTGGCAATAGTGCTCAACTGAATATTGCTTGTTCCTTCGTAAATGCTCCCAATTTTACAGTCCCTGAAACGCAAATTTGTCATCGTCTGGTTAAGGGTGGCTTATCAGCTTTCCCGTTATTACCTGTAAAACTTTTCTTGGGGGAAATCCTTGGTAAACCCGACGCCCCCCATCCAGTCTATGCATTTAATGGTGGTTCGCTGAGCCACCTCAGAAGCATACAGTTTAGCCATCGAGGCTTCCTTGATATAGGGGACCTTTTGTTCTAATAATCGAGCAGCATTGTAAGTTAGTAACCGGGCTGCCTCGATTTCAGTGGCAATTTCCGCAATTTGATGTTGCATTGCCTGCAGAAAACGTGTTAGAATCACTGTTATTGACTCTCTCTATAAAAAGCTGACTTGGAAGTTGAAAATCGGCTGTCCAAACTGCTGTCTCTCAAGGGTGTAGGGAATGGTTGCGTCGAAGCAACCCTGCGCTAGCCCCAACATCTGAGCGGCTATTCCGATCCTTCCCTCATTGAGAATGTCTATGGCTATTTTGTACCTAAAAGTGGTCCACTCGAAGCATACAATTCAGGTTTTACTTGGCTGGTAAATACCCTTGTCCGATTTCCCCGAGTAAGTGGCTTGTGGGGATTTTAACGTCTTCGAAAGTCAGCATGCAAGTGCCGGAGGCCACAATGCCCAGCTTGTTTTCTGGACGATTGATCGTAAACCCAGGTGTGTCCCTATCGACGATGAAACACGAAATCCCTTTATATCCCTGGAAAATACTATATGAAATTGTATCTGATTGGCGTTGGCCATGCTATTTAATTAGCATTACAAAGCATCTTACAATAAACATGTTTAATTACTTATGGGAGCGAGCTTAATCATCGTTTTTCAGTTAGAAGCCAAAATTTCGCAATGCGAACCCAAGTGGGACGAAGTTATTTATACCTCAGATCAAAGTTTACTGATACGAGCATGATTTGCACTGAACTGAAATTTGGTGGGCGCTTTTCAACGGTTTTACCTTAGATGTGTCTGCGTTGGCCATGACAAGGAAAACTCCGGAAAAGTCCGAATTGGAGATCCACATTTTCGAGCCATTCAACACATACTCATCTCCGACTTTTTTCGCTGTCGTTTTCAAAGCGAACGCATCCGTCCCTGAGGACGGTTCTGTAAGCGCGAAACTTCCCACCTGAAAAACCAGTCTCTTAATACCAACTTCAAAAATAAATAGTTTTTATGCTTCATTTCACAAACGGGTTTTTATGACAACGTTTCGGTTCGTAGTCCGTTTTCAGGCGAACGCTGGAAACTTTGCGATAAAAAACATGTTTGTAAACTACCATTTCCGTGGCAAGTTTTGGTAGGTATTTTTCCTTCTGGGCTTCATTCGCATATTTGAAAAATACAGAATTCACTAAGGTGTTGTGGATGTCCACCAAGGCAGCCACCGAAGGATCCACCTTGGAAAGTTCTTCCACAATGAGAACCGCTGTTAGGAAGTTGCATTCTGATCCGTTGTACTCTGAGGGCGTTTGGATGCCCATTAACTGCAAAATTAGGTGTTGAGTAGAAAGCTCATCGCTTTGCTTGTTTGGGGGATTCTTACTCCGTTATCAAAGAGCAGTTTAAGGACGGAGTCCTTGATTTTCTTCTCGTTTTCCATATCTTTGACATGCGGAAGGATTTGTTCCTTGGCCAGCTTAGAAACTGCAACCGAACATTAATGGAGAAACCCTTTAAAACCGCGCTTCTCACCTGTTTCTTGCATGGCCTTTTCATCATCAGACAGGTAAGTTAAAGGCAATGGCAAGGCCGCTTCTTGGAAATTCGTCGCCGAAGTGAAGATATTCCGAACGGCGATTGTTCGGGCGTTTTTCAATATCTATAACGGATGACAAGAATGTTTCCTTAGAGCTTTGGTTGTAGCTGATTGCAATTGATTGAACACGCAAGTGCTTACGTCAGAGCACTAAATTTGATCAGAAGAACTTGACCAATAGAGATCATTCGAGTTTAAATGCATCGTCATCAATCAGTGAGGGAGTTTTTGGGGATTTGAAGACCGCTTACATCAAGGGGTCAACAGTTCCAAACGTTAATCAATAAAATACGTACGTGCCGACCAATCGGTTTTAAACATTTATTATTGTTAATCATCGGTTTGCTAATGTTATCACTCTTCTGGAGTTTATTTGTTCATCGCTAGATAAAACAGTACCAGATACAGACATACACAGGGTGTTTGAATTGAGGAAAAAATGGGAAACTATTTAAATTAAAAATTAGCTTAAAATTAGTGAATTATTAATTGCAAAATATATTTTTCGGGCATAAGAACGGAGCAAATGCGTTATGATGAAAGCAGCTCTGCTATTTCCGACTTAAACGTGTTCTTGAAATAAATCGTTTCTCTATGGTTATTTGAGCCTCATTAAATGTTACTAATTCACCTGAAATGATCACTTAGGTAAAAGCTGTTTTCGTGCAAACGCTATGCTTTTGAAAATGAGTTTATTCGATATTTGAACTGCTAGAACCCTGATCTGGAATATTCGAGCTGATGCAGGAAAACTCAAAGTCTGCCTGGTGGAAACCTTCAATTAAACCCAATTATGGTTGAAGGTCTTTGGGGAACTTTGAGTGATCCATTCCGAAGCGCTCAAACGCAACTAGTCAATTTACAAATACTCAATTGTAAATTCGTATTATTGAAAAAGCTCGAGATTTTACAGTTCAATATGTACTAGACCTAAATACTATTTTACCACAAAAAAAAAGAATCTGATACCTGACGAGTCAACCCAGCCATGGCACGCACACTACGAGGTCTTTTACAAAATGATGAAAATCGCGGCCTCTTGGTTTCTCGCTTTGACCTGGCAACTGATAAATGGTAATCCCTTTAATTACTTATTTATCGTCGAAATTACGAAACCTACAGAACTTGTTTTGCATCTTACCACAATGTTCAATCTCTATTATCCATTGAGTAAATAGGCTTATTTGTAATTATCGAAGATCGACATTGTGGTTCACATATATTGGCTATGGGAAAGTCCAAAGTTACCCATTTTATGCAGTAATAATAGGGGAAGCAAGGCATTTTTATACAGGGTGTTCGTTTTACGAGCCTCGCCGTTGGAATCGCCGTAACCGTTACAGATACGAGGTCGCTTAAATTGGCCATTTTAGGCTTGTGCAAATGCCCTTTTGAAACTTCTGATTCGGAACAATACGTTTGAATTTTTTCAGCCTGTTTGACGAGATACAAAAAAGAGCGTATTTTCAAAAACTTCAGATAAAGTTGCTTCAGAGTAGAAAAT